AAATCCATTGAAATATGTTCCCTCAAATGTAGTTGGTTGCCTAGATGCATAGAAAAAATGCAGAAAGCAAGAATAAGCATCAAAAAGCACATACATTCAAATACACACAGATAACAGGAGAAAAACACATACAGATACAGACGTGAGAGATACGCTTACATATACATATGCTTTGTATTGTCATTTTTATCCTGGCTTCTGAAAACGATGGTCATTTTATGGATAGAGAAAGCACCCCATGAGCAAGAGAGGTTTATCAAATGTGTGCAGAGTAGGATGCTATCTGTTGTCTTGGTTTTATGTCTAGGATTTAGGATCTTAGAACACCCAACACATATCTTTTTATCCATATGCTCACATATACATAAACTAATTAGAAACAAAATAAAAGTAGAATTGGAAAGGGTATTTTTTTGATTATTTATTATCACTTGTTTTCTTTAAATAACCTTCTTGAAGGATAATTTATTACAAAGTAAATTGCAATATAGGGAACAAAAAAATTAAACTTTGTAGACATCTAAAATGTAAAGGTTGGTAAAAAGCAATGATCAAAAGAAACTTCAGTGCTGGGCATGGCAGCACACAACTGTAATCCCAGTGGTTCCAGAGACTGAGGTAGGAGGATTGTGAGTTCAAAGCCAACCTCAACAACAGTGAGGAACTAAGCAACTCAGTGAGATCCTGTCTCCAAATAAAATACAAAATGAGGCTGGAGATGTGTTTCTTTTTTTTAAATTTTTTTTTAATATTTATTTTTTAATTCTCGGCAGACACAACATCTTTGTATGTGGTGCTGAGGATGGAACCCGGGCCGCACGCATGTCAGGTGAGCGCGCTACCGCTTGAGCCACATCCCCAGCCCTGGAGATGTGTTTCAATGGTTGAATGCCCCTGAATTCAACCACAGATTGCAATCTATGTATGCAATACGTGTGAAAACTGTTTAGAGTGCAAACTGTGCATTTCCAAGACGGTATTTCCATAGCTGAGCTAAACATTGTCTTGTCCCTACTCCTTTTGATAGCTTTGTATTGTCATTTTTATCCTGGCTTCTGAAAATGATGATCATTGTATGGATAGACAAAGCACCCTATGAGCAAGATCGGTTCATCAAATGTGTGCAGAGTAGGATGCTATCTGTTGTCTTGGTTTTATGTCTAGCATGTAGGATCTTAGAACATCCAACACATTTCTTTTTATCCATGTACTTTTTTTAGTTTACAAAATGATACAACTATACATCTTTTATGATTTCTGTCATTGACAATTTCTGAAAACTTATAATGAACAATAAATATTTCACACTTAGGATCACAGACTGATGGTAATACTGAAAACATCATTCACAGAGATATCTCATCAGGAAATGATTTATAAAGATAATGTCCATTCTACACTAATGATAGGTAGATCCTGTGAGGGGTGTCCCCATTAGTGCTATAGAAATATCAAGATACTCATTAACATATAAGTGGATAAAAACTTGCTAACATGGATGTTTGACCCCTGAAGTTCTTCTGTGCAAAGTGATAGGAATTTAATTTAACTCAGGCATCATTTATGTAACATTTTCTGCTTAAGATTTGTGTGTAGTGGGAGGAAGTACTGGAGATTGGACCCAGGGTTGCCATATCACTGGGCTATATTCCCAGCCTGTTTTATTTTTTTGTTTTGAGACTGAGTCTTGCTAAGTTGCTTAGGCTGGACTGGACCTTGTTTTCTTCCTAACTCAACCTCCTGAACCACCAGGATTATAGGCACGTGCCACCCCACCGGCCTCTATTTAGGACTTTTAAGGTGAAAGTATATGCAAACAAGGCATAATTGAGACTTGTCCAGTGAGCACAGTATACTACAAAGGCATAAGCCAATTTTCCAAGACATTTGATCACATCTAACTAACTAATATGCAGATTGATTTGAATTAGAATAGACTGTATGTGATTCTTTGTTTAGGACTGGAGAAAGAAACTCAGCTCCGTGTCCCTGTCTTCTTTTGTGTCATTTACTTGAGCTACATTTTTATATATCACAAGTTGTCCTCATATATCTCCTTGTTCAAATAGCCATTATATTGTCTTGTTCATATTCAAGTTATTTTGCATTATTGTAAATTTACTTATGCAAATATTTATTGTATATTACTGAATATTATTGGTGTTGTCATTTATTAAAGACCCATATTCTGCTTACCACTGTTTTAAGTGCTTTATGTAGATTAACTCATTTGCTTTTAATGGCCTAATGAGAAAGTAATCCTCATTTTACAGATGAAGAAACTGAGGTACAGATTGATTAAGTAACCCAAATTGACAAATCCAGTACAAAACAAAGTCAGAATTTAAATCCAGGTATACTGGATCTAGAGTCTGTTCTTACACAGTCTCATTAATTAGTTTCTGCTACACTTTTAGTGTTAAGCTTTGCTCTCCTTGTTGTATATGTTGTATAGGCAGGTATTTGGGGTGTGCTTTCCTCCCTTTCCCTATAGTTTTAACCCTTTTATTTTCTATGTAGGTTAAACTTCATATGATAATACTCAGACCCAGTATGCTCTTAGTTTCTTCTGTTTTACTGTTGTCTGTGCTGTCCCTATTTTACTTCCCTTCCCACGTCACATTCCCAGATTTTACACTAACTGACCTACTTCTCTTTCCATCTATCTCTCTGCTAACATTTCCATTCATTCTATACTCCCAAGGCTGTTTCTATCAGACTGCCTTACTCCCCATCATAATGTAGCTTATTTGCTGATTTATTTTATGTGTGGTTTGAATGACTATGTTTTTCAGAAAATTCCATTCTTTGAATGAAAAATAAAATCTTTGAGACTTTTGTTGTTGATTTTGTTTTCTTTTGGTTTTAGCAATGTTCTCAGAGAAATCAGTACTCCGAATTTGTTTCCATGCATTTGAAAAAGTCCCAACCAATATATATGTATATCAAAAATTGTCAGCTCTTTATGAATAGGAAAAGTATCACATCAAGGTTAACCCACTTAAGGTTTTGATTGACCAGTTTATGTGTGCAGAACTCTGTCAGACGCAAAGGAGTGATCTGAGTGTCTTTTGATTGAGCTTACAAAGAGGTGCAATTTATCTAATTTCGAGATGGCAACTCCTAGCACAGCCGGAGTGAAAGCTTTTGTTTTTGTTCATCAACAAGTGTGTTAAAGATATTATGTAGTTTGTTTAATCCAGATAACTCTAAAATTTGTTCTTTCAGCTCTTTGAGAAATTGTTTCAAACATGTATTACACAGATTATGGAGAATCAAATGTTTTCCTCGAAATTCCAACTGATTTCTGAAGATCTTTTCTGCTCTCTTACTTAAATTTAGAGATAAGCTAAGAGTCTAGATTTCCATACACTGATGAAGAACTCAGTATATCTTTTGTACAAAGCTTTACTAAGGGTTGGGGAGACTGAAGAAATAGCAACCTTCACAATTTAAAATTCCACATTGGAACTATGCCTTTTATGAAAGCTTCACAGCCATTCCCTTGGTTCAGGTTTTATCCTCCTGCCATGGTGCTAGGTAATCCCCCTTACACCTTTTCTCCTTATTTTTTTAGCATACCCTTGGCACTTCTGTTTATATCTAGCACAGGCAATATTAAATTGCCTTCACCAGCATGACTCCTGCAGAACGGTGCTTTCAGAGTCTTTGCTTCCACCTTCAGGAGGCTTAAGAAGGTATTTTTCCCCAAACAAAGACAGTTCTTTCCATAAGTTAGGATTCTGAAACCAGCTGTTCAGGTAATTAAATTCTCAAACCTTACTCGGACAAAAGCTCAGATTTTTTGAGTGAAGCTCAATATTCTTACACTATTCTGAATATTTTAATGCCCTATTTTATAATAGCAAATATATTATGGTTCCTCCTCTTCTCATTATTCAGTGTGAGGGTGCATTTCTTAGACCCTTTTCTTCTCTCATGACTCTTATAAAAGAGTGAATCACTTGAGATCCTGAAACATTTAAAGCTGTTTAATCCTTGAGCTTGTCCTTGTTATAGTCAAAGTCAAATATTTCAGATTCTGAACCTGAGGTTGATCCTTTCCTTTAGTCCTCTTGTGCCTCTTGAGGTGCCATACATCCAGTGTTCATCTACACAGTCTGAGTCCAGAATTCCAGCACCATAATTTGTATTCAATACGCAAGTGAGATCAGGACAGTGAAACCATAGAAGTCCTGAATCCTTCTTTACTGTCTCTATGAGAGTGACACTAATTTTTGATCCGTAGTGATAGCCAAACATTGACTATATTAGCTTTCATATTGATCAACTGCCTTTTTATCATTGACTTTTCTACTTAATAAAGACTTTTTCAATCCTGAAAACTTAGGTGAAACAATTCTTATGTGTATTGGTACATATAGTAATATACTCATATTCTATTTGCTCTGAAGCATTGCTTCAATGCTTTGTTTTGTATGGTGATCTGGAGAACATGAATTTGAAATTAATGTACTAGGATTATTACTGTCATAATTATCTGTACAAAGATTTGAAAAATGTTTTCTCAATTATGTACATTCTCATATATAGAGTAAAAGAAATCATTATAAGTTTAAAATGTTATTCTTTATATTGCTACTTGCTAATTAATAGGGCTTAATTATAATTTACTTTTAAATATATAAATTATGAAAGAATAGTTAATTATGTCATATTATGGCAGATTTGGGCATAAAATAATATATTCAGAGAATATCAATATATTTTCAAGTAAATATTTTTCAGTTGAAGTAATTATCCTCTACCACAAAATACTCCATAATAACACATTTTCAGTATATATTACTCCAATATCAAGTTACAATCATTAAAATAAATATTATTGTTGTGTTTATATTATATAACTTGCCTTCAATTTTTCCTGCTAAATATGCTATTTTAATAGAAAAATATGATCAAAAGATAGTTCACTATCCAAAAATGAAAATAAAAATTAGAAAACAATGCAATAAAGTATGACTCTTTAATAACTTCAATTAAAAAGGAGAAATTGGTGAAATCATTTTATTAGAACTGAGGTCATACATAGAAATTATTTTTAAATATTGTGAAGTCTCTTTCTTGTATCTTACATCACTGTTAATATATTCTTCCATGTCAAAACATTGCCATATTTCTTCTTTTTCTGCCATCTGAGCAGGGTTCTTATGGGATCAAGATCTGAGGAAGGAAGTGTGGATTCTAGATGACTCCACTCTCATGTTTGGGACCTCAGAGTAGATGCATGAGGTTCGGGAATGGCTGAGACTCTGTACATGTGGTCCTCCATAATTACGACATTGAACCCCACTTCTGCAGTGAAGCTGAATGCCAAGAGGGCAAAAAGAATAATGCAACCAACTTTCTTAAGACCTAGACTTGAAACTAGCAAAGTATCCCTTCTGGCACATTCTGTTGATCAAAGCAATTCCAAGGGGCAATAGATTTCACCATTGGTGGGAAGTTGTATTTACATGGTGGGGAATATGTAAAATTGTTGTCATCTTTGCAGGTAACTCCCACAATCAGTATTCATGCTAGCACTTATGGAAAGAGAAGAGGTAATTAACAGGAATTTACAGTATGTGATACTTCAGACATTGAAACCCAATAGTTTTCAGATAAGTCTTATTTGCTAGATAAGTCTCCTGCTATTTAACATGAGGGAATACCAAAATAATTTTTTAAAGTGACAATGAACATGCTGAAATATTGGAAGTACAAAATGCCAATTAGGAACTACTAGTGAGCATCAGCTAACCAGATACCTCTGATTCCATTTGGTTCAATTTTGCTAGAGTTCTATTCTAGGAAGGCACGATTTTCACAAGAAGGCCATACAAATATTAGAAGCAGTGAGTGATGTGTTAATAACCAAAATTACATGTCAATTATCACATTTTCAATTACCTACCATATTTGGCAATTAACATTTTGTTAATCACCCACTCTACAGTTTGATGTGACTTTCTAAAGTAAGTAGCTTACCCTCTACCTCTGAAAAATTGCTGTTTATCATTGGTGAATACATAATAAGTTCTTCATCTTTGTGTTTTATTTACAACTGTCTTGTGGTAATGAATCCATCTCATGTGGGACTTGCTTAGGTAGTATACATATGTGAGAGCAGACATTTAAAGCAAAAAATTTTGTAGTTTGGATGTCCTATCTATACAAATGGAAAAATATGGATTTGCAGACATTAAGAAAGTATTTCTAATGAGGTTCATTTTGACAATCAGAGGGCTTTTCATAGCAATATGTTCTCGCAGCAATGTAAGGAAAGCAGAGTGTTATTTTAATCAATATGAAATCATATGGGCTGTGGATTTTTAATAAGTGTCTAAATGCAGTTCTTCTTTGTATATTTTGACTAATGAAGTGTAGTATGGTCGGAAATCTGTAGACGTTCACAGATTTGATTTCAAATCTTAGCTCATCTAATTATTGGAAGATTTTTCTGCTATTACTAAGCTAATGCTCCCTATCAAACCATACTCAAACTCACAAACAAACTCTTAATTCTTAAGTTCATGGGTCTATTGGCCACTATAGTTTGGCTCTATAAGCTGTGCTTCAAGATGTGATTAGGCTGGGCTTGACTCCTTCACACTCAATAGATAGGTGTTCAGCCAGAGCATACACAGCAGAAAGGTAAAGTCCAGTGAAACTATATAACGCATTTGAAGGCTCCACTCACAAAATATTTTCTTATATTCCACTATCAAACTCACATGAACAAATCCAATTTAATCACAGATTATACTGCATCCCAAAGGAAGAACAGAGGAGTGCATATTTACAAATATTTCCATCTATAAAAATAACTATTTACATTTAGATAAGTATCCTAAAATTTAAGATGCTGGAATACCAAGATAATTTCTTTAAAGTGACAATGAATATATTTAGATGTTGGTAAGGTTACACCATATTGTAACATTGGTAATGTACGTTCATATTGTCTGAGCTTTAATGTTGTAGTTATCTGTAAATTGGGGATAGTAATATAACATTCAGAACTATATGGCTATATGGGGATTAACATGTTTCCAACACAAAATTGAGTGGATAAAAATAACTTGGTGCTATGATTCAACTCAAAGAGGATGTGTATCATGTATCAGATTTAGCTGAAATTAAAGTGAAGTCTTGGCTGTTTTGAGACGGCTTTTCACCAACTAGTAATTGCTATTTACCTTTGTTAAACTTAAAGGTGACCTCAGGCTAATAGTGGAAGTTCACATAAAAATATTGAAGCTCATTTAATATAGTCACAAAGCTGTATTCCTTAGAGATATGGCACTGACTCCATAGTATCAGTAGGTAAATTTACCAAAAGATCCACATCAAATTCTCTTTGAATTTTTCAGTTACTACCAGAGCAGAAACCTGACAACAAATATAACATAAAGGGATTCACTTCTAGAAGCTTCAAATCTTGAAAGGGAGTATAAAACAAGACAGTTTAAAACACTCATGATACAAATAATTTGATTGTAAAATTGTCTGAGTAATAATCATTTAAAAACTCATAAGAATACTAACATCATTTAACCAAAGCATTGGACTTAAGTAAAGAAAATGGTAGGAAGCTAATAGCTGGAAGGATTTGCTACTATTGTTACTATTACTGCCAGCCTTATTCACAGAACATCTCAAGCTCCATGAAGGAACTTTACCTTCATTGCTGAATTATCTATTTAGAGGGGTGTTTTCCCCAATGAAGTAGACACTCAAATTTTAATTGTTTAAAAAATGCAATGTAAGAGATAAGACTAATGTTAAAACCACAGGTTTGTTGAATTTTGTGCCCTGAGTATTGCTGTGCAACACTTGCCCACATATTTGGATAAAGGAGAATGTGTGTAGTGTAGCAGTAACAAATAATGACTGAAAGTCTGTGTTAGCTTATAATATGAGTAATTTGAATCACACGAAAGTCTGAATGTGTTATGTCAAGAAAAGGGTCATAGATGGATTTTGACCAGAAGGTCAGTAAAAAGAAAAGAATGTCTAAAACAGAACCATGTGACACAGACATAGTGGAGATGTGGAGATTACATTGGAGGTCATGCCTTAGCTGAATTAGAGGTTGTGCCATAGCTGAGAACTATCTATGAAAAGTAAGCAATAGGACATGAGAGAAGTAAAAGCGATACATGCAGGTAGTATTAGTAGGCTCTAGAGAAAGTAGGTTCTACTATTTCTAAGTCCTCATTCAGTCTTTTTATTTTATGTACCATTGAAGAGAAAATCTCTCTAGTGATGATTACATAATGTGCAGCCTCCTGTGTGTATGTGTGTAAATTTGCCTGCAGAGTGGGGCTGATAAATTTGTTACCTTTCCTCTGTTAAGACATTACATTGGCTCACATACATTATTGTTGAAAGACAGAAGCAGATGTTAATTGAAGTGATGCTTAATGATCTGTGACCCTATATACAAAGAATCCAGGCATCACAGTCATCTGCTAACCACATCCATGAAGACTGCCAGTGCAATACAATTCATGATCTTCAGATCTTAAGCAAGTACCAGCCTCTTCCCAGTGAGTTGAAAGGCTTCAGCTGGAAGAAGAATAAAAAGAAAGTGTAAACATTTGAACAAGTGTGACATCCCCTTGTGTTGGACAGAAGTTATACATGCAGCATTCTCTCTACCTCCCATTTCCCCTGCAATTAGGGCAAAGCCTGTTCTCAAGGTACAGAGCAGCTGGAGTTCACAGAAGGGCATTACCACAGTTGGGTGCCAGTCTTTAATGAGGCAGCCCTGCCTATGTACACAGACATCAAGGTCATCAGCAAATATGTGAAAAATATCACAACAAGTTTCTATGAAAAGCATCAGTAATGACTCAATGACCAAAGGAAGATATTCACGTTCTAATCAAGTAGAACCTAACAACAGCTGAGCACATGTGACACTTTGTGTAGGAGCAGCTGTAGTTCAAAGAAGGGCAGTGTATACTGCAGTTGAAGGGAAATTCCCCCTTCCAATAAGGTTTTGTTAATTACTGTTACTACAATGAAAGTTTCACTTTGACACTAAGCATCACCAATAGTGAAGCAGTTCCAAATTCTTAGGCATTCTGCCATGTTATGATTAATTTTACAGTCCATGCATGGATGTTTAGTTAGAAAAGAGAACTGTAGATATCTTGTACAATCCATCAAAATAGTAGGAATAAACTGTCACTCCCAACCTGAGCCGTGAACATGTTTATTTATGAGCCACTCTGCTGAAATTGAAAAAAAGGAACTCAAGACAGCAATGCAAAAAGAGGCATCCAAAATGTTCTCTGTTAAGCAACAGCTAATGGAAAACATGCAGTAAAGAAAGTCTGGCTCATTTCCAGTTTCAGAAAGGTTGAGGACATTGGTTCAAATAGTTTGGGTTTCTTATTTGACCCACCTTGAGACTCTTAAAGTGCATTTGTCTATAAATCTGGCTAATAATATTTAAAAGGTGGGAAAGGTGACTGAATTTTTTTTCCCAATAGATCTTTATTTTAAGAGTTTTTAAAGCAAAATAGAAAATGAACACAACAACATGTTGATTGATCATCCTGGGGACTTGCACTGTGGGGGATGAAGTATCTTTCTAGGTGTGTGTATTTTTCTCACTTTATCTATGTTATAAATTATGGTTATAATGCCACATAAAGCCAAGCTCTTCTCTTTTACTTGTAGCTTTATTCCATTTCTTGGGACAATGACTAGTGACAGATGGGGCCAATCAATATATGTGTTAACAATGAATGAATAAGGCGCTGGGATCTACCATTGTAGATCAATTGTAGAGCACTTGCCTAATATGTGTGAGACACTGGGTTCGATTCTCAGCACCACCTAAAAATAAATAAATAAAATAAAGGTCCTTTGACAACTAATTTTTTTTAAAAAAATGAATAAATGAATGAATGAATGTTTCTACAATTTATTTACTTTTTTTATTAGTGTTTTGTGCGTATACTTGTTGTTGCATTTACCTTTTCAGTTCCTTTTTTTTTTTTAAGGTGTAACAAGTGGAATTTGCAGAAGTTTGCAAATGTTATGTACATTTATGTATTTTTATTTGTGTCCACAACTCTATTAATGAGGATGTAGCAATTTTCATGAACTTTAGCTTGATACAATTTTCTATGAACCGTGAGACCAACATACCTAAAAACAAAAGAAACTTAAAAGGAGACTGCAACATCCAATAGATGGAGTGAAATGGGGGAGAGGGGGGAAGTGCTGGGGATTGAATTAGGGCAAATTATATACCATGTTTTTGGATTATATCAACTGTACCTAATGTTATATATAATTTAAAATAATCAATATAAATTAATAATAAAATGGCCAAATGCAACCTATGTAAAGAATGATGTGAACCTAAAATATTGGATTCTCGTACTAAAATAATATTGGATCAAAGGGAAGATAAAATTTCTGCTTATTGTAATATTATATATCAAAACTTATGTGATGCTTTCAGAAAGTTTTCTTAACAGGGAAGTAACTTATTAGTTAAACATTTATCTAAGATGTTCAAAATAAAGTATAAGAAAATAATACTTAAAGAATAAAGGAATTAGGAAGCAAATAAAGAGAAAAGAACTGATGATTCATAACCTTGAATCTTACAAAGTATGAGAACTCACCGATAAAAATAAGAAGAGCAAATCTTAGAAAAATTTCCAGAAGAAAATTACTTGATGAAAGAAATTACAAAGAGCTAGGTATCAGAGTGTATATGAAAAATTATGAGAAAATATTCCACACATGGTAGAAATAATTTGAAAATCTGCATTAACTCAAACTCATATTTATTTTAAATATAGAATTTTTTTTAAAAAAAACAACTCTATTCTTTTTTCCTGCTGAAACACATTTCAGAGAACAGAAAAATTTTAATTTTACTCCATAACTTTATAATTTCTGAGCAACTAAACTTACAAGGTTACATAAAAAAGTTTAAAAAAAACCACTCTCTTATGACTTTGATTGTGTCTTCTTGCCTAGAACATTTTTTTTCAGAATATTTTCAAGTGGACAAATTATGTTATTATATTGTGTACATGTACAAACAAGTGACAACTAATCCCTTTATTACATATAATTATTATGCACCATCCAAAATATATTTTTAAAAAATAGATGTCCAAACCTCATTACTAGAGTACCAATTCAAGTGGCAAGTCTATAGGTTTTTTCCTTGAAAGCTCAAAATTCCTGTTGCCCAGGTACTCTAACCAGTTCAATCAACCATAAACATACATGCACACAAACATACAGACACATTTTGTCTAATGACAATGTGAAAGATTTTGCTTTTATTTTTTAGAATGTTTATTGTGCATGTGTGACCACTGGAGGGTAAGTTCTATGAGACACAGTAGAAGCCTCAGTATTTTGACAGCTGCTAACCACATAGCTGAGCCTGAGTGAATATTAGTAAATGTTGTTATTTTTTCTTAATAGACTTGTAGACACCATATATAGATGTTACATATAAATAAGTGACTTTAGACATAATAAATATTACTATATACAAAAATACTTTAAAAAGATTGTAAGTCATAAACTATTACTTATTGTATAATGTAGAGAAGGTGAGCCCAACTTTAGAAAATACATAAAGGTAACTAACATCTTACACATGTTTAAAGAAAGATGTGTTTATGGAGATTCATAGTTTAAAAACATCTTATTAAATGAATCAAGTATTCTTACTTGAAACACTTAACAAAATGGCAGATTATGATTCAGATTAATTACATTAGTAGAAGTGAGTTGTGTGGCATTTCATTATAGCCCTGTAATGACAATAGATATGGGTATTCATGTGCTCTGGGAGACTGCTAGTGTCAATCAGGGAAGCCAAGCAGGAAAACTTGAATTCTAATTTGGTTTAGGTATCCCTTGCTTTGGAAGTTCCAGGTACACCAATGTGTTCTGTAAGTATTAGAAAGGGTCATCAATAGAAGTTATTTTCAGTTCGGATAATACTCTGTAAACATTGTGAAAGTTGTGTGAGATTGTACAATCTGACCTAATGGAATCTAAAAGCTTAGAACTCTGAAAAAATCACAAGGTGCCTGAGAACCCAGGAAGACCAGTAATTTCCATATGCCAATACAAGAAACAGAAAAAGAAAGCAAATTTACCAGGCATACTGGGACAGAGAACTTAGGCCTTCAAATGTACAAATTGAGAATATCTCACTGAGGACATACCATGCTAATTGATAATAACATAATGTTTTAGGAACCTTATGAATTTTAAAACATTAAACTAGCACAAAAATAAAAATGTATATTGCTGAGACAGAATCAAGACCAGAAACAGGAATAGATTATAAAAATATAGGATAAGTACAATATTTAAGATCAGTGGGGAAAATATGACATGAGGACAAATGACTACCCATTTGTGAAAAATAGCTAAATCACTACTTTACTCCTTATACCTGAATAAATCCCATTTCATTTTCAAATAAAACATGAAAACTATAATATTAAAATCTCTAAAAGAAAATGAAAATGGAAATAAAAAGTCATATGGGTCTCAAAAAAACCCTTCTAATTCTAAACTGAAACCAGAAAGAAGGAAAACATAAAATTGATTTTTAAAATGAACACTACTTGTGTAAAAGTATGACAGCATGATTAAGATATAAAGGATAAACCAACAGAAATGTATAACATTTGGCAGTCAACTACAGGCTGCTTCCACATATAATTACAAAAATATTACTGTTTAAAAGAAAATAGAAAAATAATAGGAATATAGAATTGAGCATAAATTATGATTCATAATCATTATTAGTAATAAAATAGGGACAAATTATAATGAAGATAACATTTTTATCAGAAACACCTCTTTATTTTTCCAATAATAGTAATGATTTAAAAATATAATAAAGAAATAAAGCATTTTAATAAGTTTTTAATTCTGTTTTCAAGTAGACATTTGAAAATCTATCACGATCATAACATGAGCATATGTTGGAATTTTACTTATGAGATTAAGTCATCTGACAACTGTAAAGCCATGTTTACAGGGCAACCCATACTAATAGTATATTTCTATAGATGAAATGAGGTTTAATTAAAATGTCCATTAGTAGTGCTCCATTTACACAAATGGTGCAGCTTCATAGGAGTGTGATGCAGCCAGGATAGACAGACGGATGTATGCATTTTTTATTGTGTCCATATACATAACAATAAATGGAAGCTATACATTATATATTAACATTTTCTGTGTATTAAAGTGGTTTTAGATCTTCATTTTATTCTCATGTATTGAATGACAAATGAAACACATAAATGTCTTAATTAGAAAAAGTGATAGTGATAATAAATGGAAAGTGAAAGACTTTAAGGTAGTAAGTCTTAAAAACAATTTAATAATTTACATAATATAGTACTAGTATAAAATCAACTGACAGGCCCAAAATTGTTATTGTTGTTATTTAGAGACAGTTGTATTTAAAACAAGTCACTGGTTAAGTTAGGTGATAAAGTAGATTATTCACAAATGGGTATAGAAAAATGTCTCCAATCAGAAGCAAAATCAACTTTGATCCACACCTTACACTATACGTCCCTTTTTGGAATAACAAGTTAAATATGGAAATGAAATAACAAAGATATTTAGCTGACTTATCTTTTTGAGGGAACAAATAAGTATTTTATTCTTCATTTATTCAAATTCTGGAATATGAAGATAAAACAAAGACATTTCATTCCTGAAAATGTTCTAACTTCCTGGGTACATTTTGTAGGAGGATTCTGAGGATACATGTAACACACAAAGGAGTACAACATGCATGAAGCAGTTACAGAATCCAAGGATAAGTTGATCTAACCCTTTAGATCCGCTACACAGGCGAAAACATTAGCTCTCAAGAGGATGATAATCTACAAAATAGTTATTATAATGGAAACATTAGGAAGTAGGAGATATGAAACCAACACAGAATACCAGGGGGAAAACAGACAATCTGACCCTTCACAGAAAATAAATGATTGTATTTAAAAGCCACAGATTACTTTTTTGGGTGACAGTGTACAACAAAGCAGGAGTGGTACAAGTCCAAGAAGAAAAACAGAATGGAAATAGTTATAGTACAAATAAAAATAGAATGACATAATTATGGAGAAATAAAATATGTGTTAATATTTTTCTCAGCAAAACAAAGGTAATTAGCAACTACAGGAGAAATGTATAATTCAAGAAAAATACTGATTGATACAGATGTAAAAGAAAATAAGAAGGGTATATTTAGGCACCTACTAGATTCTAGCACATACTTCTTTGAGTGCTCATGAGGTTGTGATGTTGAAAACACAGAAGAAAGTGTATTTGTAGAAAACTATAGGACTCTGTAATGAAATGTTTCCATTTAATCATAATCACACAATCACATAAATAATAATTCTTAATTTCATATCTTAGAACCATTTTCCAGATAAAGCATCATAAGGTATGTAAAAATAAAGAAATAAGACTTGGGTAGCAAGTCACGTGTGTCCACTGAGTATCAGAGCTCAGCCTCAAAACCAATGTGTCTGACCAAAGCCTGTACTTCTCAGGGCTGCACAAAATTTTGCCTTGTCATTTATAACTCAAGCAGCCAATCACCTTGCAGCCTAAAACACTTACAATGCTTGATGCCCCATCAAAAGAAAGGAAACACCAATGTGTAAAAACTAATTTGTCAAGAGACTCATTTCCTGGATTCCCCAAATTTGCCAATGGTAATTTTCAGTTTAATCAGCAATAGTCAGTTTTGGTTACAGAAACAGAAATGTGTTCGGAATATTAATCAAATTAGGATCATTATACTCCTTGAATTAAAAAAAAATGAATTTTAAAAATGTTTTAAAAAATACAGAAATAAGGAAGGACAGAAGGGAACAAATAGGCAGAATCCTGGATGAGTATATTTGCAATTACAAGAGCATCGAGAACACATTGGCTTAAAGATATGAGTTAGTGACCCAATATTAAGCAAGAGCAGAAATTAAGACTGTTTTACAAACCAAATGGAGCTGAAGATGCAGTGTAAGGGAATATAAATAATCAAATTCTTCATTTATCCCAGATTCAATTGATTAGATTTATTATCAGCAAATTGTTTAGATATCAGGTATTCACAGCAAAACTAATACAAACACATGGCAAAGTGTCAGAAAAATGATCCTAAAGTTTTGGAGAATGGGCATTGAGCAATTACCTGTCAGGTTGAAAGTGTAAGCTTCTGTGTTGTAATGACCTGATAAAGAAAGCCACAAAGCAACAGGCATACTGGGAAAAATATTTACAACACAAAGAGTATTTGGGGATTAAAAATGTAAATATTTTAAATAAATAAGAGAACATGAATATATTAATTTTTAAAAGATAAGGAATTTGAACTGGTAACTAATGTCATGAAAATATACTGCTCTTTAACATTATAATCACACAGCATACATATTATTTATAAACTTGATAAAATTAATGAAAAGTTTTTTTTAGTTATTTTTATTTCACAGAAACAACTATAAATTAGCTAATAACTGTTTACTTAACTCATATAATTTGAAAGAAATTACAAAGTATTTTCAATGATTTTATGAGTCCTACTCTTTGAGTGACTAGATATAACTCATTCACTTTTTATGTACCAAATCCATTATTCATAAATAGAATGCAATATTTTCTGAACATGATCACAAATTAGCAGAGGTTTAATAAATGAAGCTTTGTCAGTTTCACAGAAATTTTAATTTACTTACTGAGGCTTAATTACAATTATGGAATTCCTTCAGAGACAGTTAATTTATATATTTATTAATTTAAAAATTAATGCATTTAAAATTCATTATTTTCATAAAAATTTGGCATTGTGATCCTCATAATTTTATTCTGGTATCTGTCTGAGGAATTCATCAAGCAAAGAAAAGATAATAGGGTTTCAATTTTAGCGTATCTTAATTAAATCAGTTGAATATATCAGTTATACACACATGAAAACTAGAATTTTGCTACAGTATCATTTATTGTTGTGACGATCTTTATGAAGCCATAATTGTTATAAACTTCAGTGAAAAAGCCTTAGATGATCATTTGGACGATAGTCTCAGACCATGCACCCCAAGGGAAATACTGTATTGTCTCCCAAGTACAGCAATCTCTTCTTCACTAAAAAGACAAAAGTTAATCATTCAATAAACAGGAGTCATGAGTCTCTGGATTGTTTGGAAAATTAAAGAGTTTCTATTTTATTCTAATGGATAGAAAGGAGATAGAATGGAATGTTTATAATAAAGAATTACAATAGATTGAGAGCAATTTCAAGAGGAAAATATAAGTGGTGCTAGAATTTGAAGTATATTCTGGAAACCAAGTGAAACTATTATGGGTTTTATGGGTTTTGCTCTTCTTATTTGGTTGCTGTTGTTATTGTTGTGAGATTATGTAAGAATTAGATCTAGGCTTTGTACAGAATATTCCAAGAGAGGATTTATGTATTAAGTTTTTTTTAACTAAATCATTTAGGAAGTACACTCCAACTTTTCATTACTTTAGACAATCACAATGAGTTTCATCATTAAAAAAGGCTCTGAGAAGTCCTGCAATAAAATATAAAACCTGTTTAACTTTTTTTTTTTAATTCAGTTTGTGTCAAATTCATTTTATCAGAAATTAGTTTGGAAAATAACATTTAATTTTCTCAGCCATTTTAGGAAACATCTGCTTTATATCATCATCACTGTATATTACAATGTATAGCTTGATATAAAAACCCTACAGAATTCTTTGTGTATATACATATAATAATACACACACATATCATTCTTATTGCTTACTAAGGAATTTATTTTTAGAAATTTCTTACCTTGGGTTTCACTTCTTGATCCTCAGTTTATCTTTTCCTGTAGAAACTTAGTGAGCCTGATTTCTAAGTATATAAGAAGTAAATTTCAATAGAGTAAGAATTTAAAAGGCACAAGAATTATTTTATTTTTACCTTATTTTTTATGTTTAATTTGTTCTAATTTGTTAAACATTACAATGGAATGCATTTGGACACATTGTACATAAACAGAGCACAATGCATTACCTTTGGCTGTACATGGTGCAGAGTCACATTGGTAGTGTAATCATACATGTATATAGGGTAATAATGTCCATATCATAAGAATTATTTTAAAACAATGTTTTGTGGTATTTAATCTTAGATATTAATTCCCCTACAGTAGTTAATAAGTAATTTTAAAGGTCAAAACAAAAGGACAATTTTTATATTTGTGTTAGTGTTTATTAGTCTACAGGAATTATTTTCAAGTATAAGTCATGCCTTATAATCAATACTGCTCTGTTCCCCCCTCCCCAAAAGGTTTTCACAATAATGAAAAACATCTTTTCAATACAAACTAAAACTATAATTTAAGATTTCAGAAGGATTTAATTCATACATGTACACAGAATTGATTTTTTGAGGAAGATAGAGCTATTTTACTAAATCACCTGATCCGAGTGAAGCACTGTTCACACAAGCAGAAACAGAAGAGAGAAAGATGAACATTGTTGGGAGCCAATGTTCAAAAAACATTAACAATTTTACCTGACAAAGCTTTCTGGTCACCTAATGGATTGGTAGGATGAGAATGGCCTTGAAAAATTAGAAGCACTCTTCTTTGAGAAAAGTCCTATTCACAACAACCTGTCCTCTTCCATTCTAAAACTCTCTGTCAGTGAAAGTTCTCTTGGGTTTTATTTTCAGTATTAGAAGAGACCAAACTCATTATCCTATTTAACACCTTGAACCTGAAGGCAATTTGGCAAGGAAAGAGTGGCTAGTGTTATATTCGCCATTAAATAAGGCACCTTTTAAATGATTCAGAGTGCAATTTTATTAAGCAAAAGACATCTTTGGCTCAGGGCCATTGACTATAAATATTTTTTGGTCAAGATCAATTGATGTAGAACATCTTGACAATACTAAAGGAAACATAAAACAAGGTCTGTGTGTCAGATGATAGGAAAGACTACATAAACATTAGGGATTAAATTTAAATTATATCTAAATCATACTTTGTGTATGACATGGATATTGCTGAAATAGGGACATAGAATTCAATCCTATACCCATTGAGAAATCTTGGGTTTATATAATATATAGGACATGCAAATTTCTCTATGTCTAGTGCACTTGTCATAGAATCTATAAAAAGGAAATCAATTTTTGGCTCAAGAAAGAACGTGCCTTTCTCTTTAAATTTGGGAACATTAAGCAATCAATATCATTTTGGATGTTCTTTTTTGTCTTCATTACTCTAAACTAAGTGTCCAGAGAGTTAAGCAGGTGTAAATAAGAAAAATGGAACATATCATAATAAAATTTTACTAAGGCTGAAAGCTTATTTTAGTGGATACCACGTGGCTAACACCAAATATTTGGAAGATAGTAGCTTGTTTACTCTTTCTTTTTTCCCAAAAGATGAAGAAAGGCAATAGATCTTAATTAGAATTGGAAGAAAAAAGAAGTAGCATTTTGAGAATGAATAGGAAATTGGTAATTCATATTCTAAAGGAATCCAAAAGCAAATTTCTGTACCAAAGGTATAATTTTGATGAATTTTTTTTGTGCTAGATATTATCTTTTATTTGCCCATGTACAGTTTTAGCACTGGTTTTTACAGAGACTGAGAAAAATGTGTTGAGTCACACAGCAGATCAGATATGAGAATTTTTTTTATTTATAAATATATTTTCAATGTAACAGAATTATCTTAGCAGATATTTACTGTGTTTGGTCATAATAAGACTCAAATAAGTTTATTTTTCCTGAACAAATGAAATAATTTTGTCATTTGATGAATCTGAGGCCAAATTCATCTATTCCACTAAAAAAATATTTTTGTAAAAAAAAAAAAATATATATATATATATAATGAACACTGTACAGGAAATCAGTAAATAAAAAGGAATATGTAGTACAGATAACTTCTTCCTCAGTCCCCTGTAGTGAGAAAAAAGACATACATATGTTGAAATTTCCTAAACAGAATATCAATTCATTAGGAACACAATGATATTCCTCCCACCTAAGTATTTGATTTCTGAAGGAAATCTTCAAATGTGAGTACTTATTAATAATTTAATGATTTACTAGTCAAATTGCATGTAAATCCAAGTCTAATAATGAGTAATCATTACATATGGACTCCCAACCTCCAATTTAATTAAATGACGTACTGCAGACTGGAAACATGAAGATCAAAGTTTGGGGTGAAGTCATCGTGGAGAGATGGAGGGAAGTATTTCACCTCTCTACAACTCAGTTTTGTCAGAGGTAACATTAAAATAAAGCAATACCTACATCGGGGTTGCTAGAAGACTTTCATGGGACATATGTGAAATCTCTATGTATATGAAAGCTCCGTATGAATAGAAGTATGTATTATTTACCCCCAAAAAAAGATGAATTGAAAATCAGCTCTTCACCTATATACCCTTTAATGAAGCTTAAGTAATAGGACTATTATCTCTATTTTAGAAAAGAAAAGGGCTTTTAAATGAACAACATTTGAGCAAGACTATAGCAATATAAATCTGCAATTAAAGAGGGAAGATATATGCTTATGTTGTATATTCCTCAAAAAATTTAAATGAGATGATACATCTAATGTGATATTAAAAGGGACAATTATGAATGAAAAATGAAAGAAAAATTGTTCCAAACATAGAAAAGACATATTTTCAAAAATTGTTATGACATACTTATTGTGGTTGGTATTCAAACTTCATCAGAACTATAGCAAAATTGTTGACACAGACACATTGAGTGAATCCAATTTTCCACAGCTGGTGTGAACTTCTTCAAGAAGAGTATGCAGCTGTAAAATCTCCTGGACGCCATTGCATGTCTTGCACACTCCCCAGTGAGTCTTCTCCATTTTACTCCACTCTTGTACTCTCAGCCACAAATATAATTCTCTCATAATTTGGAAAATAACTTTACCTGCACTTTATTTTGATTTAGGCTATTTGACTCTATATTCCTCAAATTTATGCCATCTCACCTTAAAATAGCTGCATGTATTTCACCCATTCTTTTCTTCTCTATTTCACCCATTCTTTTCATCTCTACTGACTTAAAGAGGGAAAAAAGAAAAGAAAAAAAAAAGACCTCCTCTTTTCCAAGCCCTTTTTAACTCTTTATTGTCTTCTAGTTGCTTTATGCAATCAATAACATTCTTTTCATTGTATTTCAAACACTTTCTCTTCATTTGTTTCTTGACATTTAGTAAAACATTGGTCTTTTCTAATCTTAAAAACTTTATTTTCAGATCCCTGCCTCATCCTAACGTAGCAGGACTCTTAAGGTAAACTGAGTTGATCTCCATATTAGTTACTTATCTATTCAGATTCTGCACCCACCTCAAGTATTACATGACTGAGAATTTTTAATTTCTAACCCCTCCAACTATATCTTCATCTGATATGTTATGTTGTGCAGTCTCTGTGCAATTCTTTTGTTATAATCCCTCTTTGCTGTTTCTTTCCACAACCACACAAATTTCTGCTTTGCTTTTTTTCTGGAATATTGATATAGCCTATTAAACAGCCTTTCCCACCATAACTTCCCTTTCCCTGATCTACATTTTACATTATTACAAAAATAGTTTTACTAATTAATATTTTTCATAGTTTTTTGTTGTTAAAATCTTCATTATTTCCATTTTCACAGAATTTTTTTGGTTTTTTTTTTTTGGGGGGGGAGGGGATACTAGAATTGAATCCAGGGCACTTTATCACTGAGTCACATCCCCAGCCTTTTTCATTTTTTACTGTGTGATATGGTCTTGCCAAATTGCTTAGGGTCTCACTAAGTTACTAAGGCTGGCTTCGAACTTGCAGTTCTCTGGCCTCAGCCTTACAGGCATGTGTCACCATGCCTGACTAGAAATAGTCTTCAAAGCAAAGGACTCTACAGCATGCTCCAAATCAGCTTTCCAATAGCCTTAATTATCAAAGTGGCAACTCTACAAATCTGCTTAATGCTTTCTTGCCTCTGTGTCTATGATCACATCTTTTTATACAAAGATTATCCTTTTAAACTTCTTATACCCCAGGCTGACTGGTATATATCTTTATAAACCCTCTTCAATGTCTGTCTCTTCCAATAAATCTTCTAAGTTCCAGGTCAGAAGGATCTCCATCTTTTAATTATCAAGACTCTAAGTTTTCCTTTTGATATTTTCTTCCACCTTATACTATAGTCTTAATCAATGTATCTTTCATTGACAGTAGATTCATGTTCATCATTATCAGTGATGATATCAATTTTGTCTCTGCCCTTTTGCCTTAAATATAGTTGAGGTTCAACTAAAAGCAAATGAATACTGACTTTGCACTTATCTATAAAAAGAAGGATAAAGAATCAGTTAGTCCTTTCCTCTGATTTTAAAGCAGAAGTTCATAATTTGCAGCATATTTATACACACCTACACACCTATGCGTGCCTACACACTCACGC